TGCTCAGAGCCACAGCCAAGTCGGAATGACGCATGGCATTTTTGCCAGAACGAGTGGTTGAGAGGTGACGCCAGCAAGCCATTGAGATGATAATGGTTATATTAAGCTGTGTATTCAGTTGCATATTAGACCCCTGATGTCCGCCTAGGCTTGCTACTTTGGAGTTCTCCTGGAGATTTCCTGAGAGTTCCCATTGGTTGGGGAAATGTGGGAGGAGGGATTTCCAGAGGAGAGATTTCCGGTTGGTGTGGTGTGTCCTGGGAGAAGGGCACGTGCGTGGCGTTCGCGGGAGTTCGGAAATAAAGTTTGTTCCTGCTTCAGTGGCTCGGATTTGTGCCCAGCCAGACTGCTGCATTTGGTGGCCCGTGCGGGGAACGCCTGAGGGTAAGTGATAAGGTAAATTGCTCACCCCTGAGGGAAGGCGAGAGAATGGGTGACCATTTAAAAAACAATGTGTTCTTGTTTTGATTTGTTTTTGTTTCAAGCTGCCTATCCCTAGAACTTTCTCAGGCAAACTGGGAAAAATGGTTGGCTCAAGGTTTGAAGTTGTTCGGCCCTGAGGAAGAGATAGAGATAGACCACGAATACACATTTCAAAAAAATAGGAAAATTGATACAACGATTTTTTGTTTCGTTTTGCTTCGGTTTTGTTTTGAGTTATCTGTTTCAGTTGCGTTATCCTTGTAGCAGAAATATGGGGTCAGAAATTAACAAAAAACAAACCAAAAGAATGTTAAGTAAATTGTTAGAGGAAGGAGGCACCCCAGTAAAACCAAAAAGAGTCAGGGCATACATTGATACAATACAAAAATGTAGCCCATGGCTTTTTAAGGAGTTGTTGAATATATCACAATGGGACCATCATGGCGAAGATTTAAGGGACAGGGAAAAGAAAAACCCAGGAACTCTGCCAGTTGGCACACTGCCATTGTGGATGATGATACGATTTTGTTTGCCTAGTCCAAACCTTTCAGTTCAGATTATGGTAGAAGACATATTAGATCAGGAAAAAGAGGAGGCCTCTCGAGATAGTCAGAAAGGGGAAGAAAGTTTAGAGCAGAAAAAGCCATCAGGGGAAAAGTTACAACAGAAGGCTGCTATTAACACGTTTCTATCACCAGAGGGCGTAAGTGTCCAACCAACAGCTCCGCCTATGGGGCCCTCAACCCCCGTAGTTGATAGATGGGATCCTGAGACAGGACCTCAAAGATTAGCATGCCCTGTATTTGAACAGGCAGGAGGGCAGCGAATTCACCATGTTTTAGATTTCAAAACAGTGAAGCAGCTAAAAGAGGCTGTAACAATCTATGGTCCTCAAGCACCCTTCACTATAAGCCTGGTCGAATCCATTACCAACTTGAACATGATGCCAGCAGATTGGACTAGTGTGTGTAAAGCTGTGCTAAATGGAGGACAATACCTGTTATGGAAAGTTGCCAATGAGGAATTTTGCATGGAGACGGCTAGGCGAAATGCAGAAGCTGGTTATCCTCAGAAAAATCTAGATATGTTGTTAGGAAAGGGATGTTGTGAGGGTCAGCTGTAGCAAATTGCATATGATCCTGCTATATACTCATAAATTGCTGCAGATGCAGTTAGGGCATGGAAGACTTTACAAGGACATGGAGATTTACAAGGTCAATTATCTAAGGTAATACAAGGAGTTAATGAACCTTATGCTGAATTTGTAGATAGGCTTATTCAAACAGCTACCAGAGTTTTTGGGGATACAGAGCAAGCAATGCCATTAATTAAACAGCTAGCCTTTGAGCAAGCAGATGGTGCAAGGAGGCCATTAGACCATGGAAACATGGAGATTTAAACACATATATTAAATTATGTAGAGACATTAATGAACAAGGGCAAGTCCTGGCAGCTGCAGTACAACAGGCTTTAGATGCCAGGCCGAAAATATGCTACAATTCTGAACAAACAGGACATTTTAAAAGGAGTTGCCCCATAGGAGGAGGGTTTAACAAAGTTAGGTATCAAAGGAGTAGAATACCAGGTATTTGCCCACGATGCCGTAAAGGGAGACATTGGGCTAATGAATGCCGTTCTCAAACCACCATAGAGGGTACTCCGTTATCAAAAAACAGACAAGGACCAGGTGTTTACCCATAATATCGTGGAGAAAAGCATCGGGCTCCATTGCCAAAAAACGGACAGGGGGTCCCAATGCTCCGGGGCCCACAACCACAAATACACGGGGCAATGGAGGAACCCAGCAACACCATCAGGGTAGTGCCCAGGACACATTATCCATTAGATCCCTCATCAGACAAACCAGAGGGAGTGCAGGGTTGGACATCTGCGCCTCCGCCAGAGCAGTACTAACTCCAGAGATGGGAGTTCAAATCATTCCCACAGGAGTAAAAGGACCTCTTCCCCAAGGAACAGTAGGCTTATTATTGAGATGCAGTTCTTCCACTCTAAAAGGACTTATGATAAGTCCTGGGGTAATTGAACCCGATTATGAAGGTGAAATAAAAATTATAGCTAGTTCTCCAAGAGGTATATCAGTAATTTCACCAGGAGATAAAATAGCACAGTTATTAATAATACCCAGTCTGCATGATAAATTTTCCAGCCGTACTGTACAAAGAGGTTCCAGGGGATTAGGCTCCACAGGTGTAGATTGGGCTATGCTGTCTTTAAATTTAGATTCTCACCCCATGCTAAAACTAAATATTCAAGGACATAAATTTAATGGGCTACTTGATACAGGTGCAGACCTTAGCATCATATCTCGTCAAGAATGGCCAAAACATTGGCCATTACAACAAGCCACTCAAATGCTTCGAGGCCTAGGAGTGGAGACTAATCCCCATAGAAGTGCAATGGTATTAGACTGGAAGGATCCTGAAGGATATGAAGGAACTATACAGCCATATATATTGGATCATCTTCCTATAAATTTATGGGGACGAGATGTCCTAGATCAATTAGGTTTGACATTAACAAATAATATTAATCCAAATGCGCCCACTATTAGGGCTAGACAAGGTTTTAGGAAAGAAAAAAGATTAAGAGAACAAGAACAAGGTATAGCAGCACCAATTCAAATAGATCAAGGAATAAATAGACATGGATTGGGGTCACTGAGACAATCAAAATTACTTGGAAATCAGAAAGACCAGTATGGGTTCCTCAGTGGCCCCTGACTAAAGAAAAAAGTAGCCCATGACCTGGTCAGACAACAATTAGCGGAGGGACATATACAACCTTCCGTATCTCTCCATAATACTCCCATTTTTGTCATCAAAAAGAAATCTGGTAAATGGAGATTATTGCAAGATTTAAGAGCCATTAATAATGAGATGGTTATTATGGGACCTGCTCAATTGGGGATTCCCCAATTGTCTGCTTTGCCAAAAACCTGGTATGTTTTAGCTATAGATATTAGAGATTTTTTTTTTTCAATTCCAATTCATCCTGAGGATAGTCCACGTTTTGCATTTACTATCCCTGCACTGAATCATGAAGGTCCTGATCACACACTGCAGAGATGCGTCATATTTACAGACTCCCTTTTTAGTTTCATTTGTTTGATTCTAGGGATTAACCCAAGAGCCCTCAACCACTGAGCTGCATCCCCAGTCCTTTTCACTATTTGAAACAGGAACTTAGCAAGCTGCTGAGAACTTGCAATCCTCCTGCCTCAGCCTCCTGAGTCTCTGGGATCACAGGCTTGGCCACCACACCCAACTTAAAGGACTTTTATTTCTACATCCAGGACTATCCTCCTAAGATCACCAGGACACCTGGGAGGGAAGCACACCTTGCTAGGCTCCCGTTTTAGTTCATAACAGGATATAACATAACAGCTCCTGAGCACTTCCTCCCCACCATCCTCTGGGTGCTGCTTTGAGGGAAAAGGCACACTCTGGAGGGTGACCTTGTATAGGCACCAAGGTACACACACACACACCCCTTTTAATACTTGCACAAGTTTGGGGAAGTTATGGAGGGCAATCTGTAAAGCCAATCACCCGATGCTAATGCGAGTTCACCAGAGAAGGGAGCCAGAGCCAGGCTCACTCTGCAGGTCCTGAAAGCCCAAACCCATCACAGGACCAGTTGTGCTGGTGATGAGAAGCCGGACCAGCTGGAGTGGCTTGTGTGCTTGACCAGGAGATTCTGCATTGGTAAAATCATGCAAAATCTTCCCAAATCTTCCTACAGAGTGATACTTCACCTCTGAGAATAATTCAGCCACAGATACCCCCAAGATCTCTGTCACTCAGAATCTGCTGAAGCTTCCAGCTCTCCCCACAGAGCACATGAGGGTGGCCTGAGGGCTGGGTTGCACAGAATGCTCCTTGTGTCTCAGAGAGGCTTCAGGCATCACAGCACTCCCAGGTATTAGCAGTGCAGGTCAAGCTAAAAATCAGGAATAATATGCCCATATTCCTACGAAATTTTTTGACAATTCTTGTGTTATTTCAAAGTACACTACTTTTTTAAAAACTGAAACTAGCCTTATGGTTTCACTTACCTGTATTATTTTATGAGAGTCTCAACATAGGAATCATGTCTCAAGGCACAGAGAAGGAACTACATCTTTCTCTACCAAATGAGGCTGCTGATTTGAGACAACTCTAGGCAACAGGGCCTCCAGCCTCTGACCACAGGGCATCTACTCCATCAGGGCTTACTAGCATCGATTTCAATTTTGGCATCATTTAGAAACCTCTGAGTCCTTATCCAGAATTGTCTATAAGTTCAAGTTTATGAAATGACCTGGTTCTTATGCTCCTTACAGATCTTCAGAGGGTCTTTCAAGGAGCTGAAAGGAGGGCTTTCCCAACAACTCCACAGGTGGTAGAATATGTGCCTCCCATATTCTACAGTGCGGAATGCCAACAGCAATCCAGGCAAAGGTCTAGAGCAACTGCACCTGAAGTGAACCCCACAGAACCCAAGAACAGATACGATGCCGTGCCTGGGACTGTCCTGGCTGCCACCTGCCTTGCCATGGCCAAAAAGAGGAGACACTGTTTGTTGAAACTAAATACATTTTAATAGAAAACAAAATACAAAATAACTCTTTTCAGAAAACAGAAATATTTAACCCTTTTTCCACATGTCAGAACTTGCTTTACCCTCGGCATAGCTGGGCTTGGCATGCCCTCAGGGCGAGCGCGACAAAACAGGGCAGGACAGCGCAGCGTGGCCGCCGCTGGAGGAAGGCGCTGAGGGCTACCTTGACAAACAGTCCTTTGGAGACTCCATATCTTGTGACTTATTCCAAATTGTTTTTTATCATAATTTTTTTATCTGGTGCTGGGGACTGAACCCGGGGCCTCACGCCTGCTAGGCAAGCGGTTTGCTGCCAAGTCACACCAGCCCACCATCATCTCTCTTTTTAGGGGAGAATTTCTGACAAAAGTGCAGCTGAGAAAAGGACTTTCCCTTCCCAGGGCCACTACAGAGCCAGTGCTCAGCGCCCTCACCTGCTTCCAGAAACAGGTCCCTGGCACCACCAGGCCACACAGAGACTTCCCTTCTCCCAATACACTGTGCTGCCAGCTTCTGAGAGTTCCCTGAACCTTAAAATTCCCAGGATCACAGCCAGTGCCAGGAGTCAAACCTGAAAGATTAAAGCAGAGAAGGGCCCCTCTGCCAGTGCTAGTTTCCTCTTCTCAATAATAATAATAATAATAATAATTATAATAACAATAATTAAAAAAATCCTGGTTCTCTGTCATTAAGAAAAAAGGAAAGACTCTGCCAGGATGAGCCCTCCCCAGGCCCCACCCCAGCCTCCAACAGGAGCCCTCGAGAAGCAAGAGGTGGCCAAAGTGACACTGCGCTGCTGCTGTGGGCACTCTGCAGCCTGCGGACAGGAGAAGGCAGGTCAGTCGAGGAGGAGAGGGAGGTGCAGGAGGTCCCGGGGGTCCTCAAGGCCAGCAGCCGCCCTGGGAGTGGGCCAGTCCTCAGCCCATGCCCAGGCACCAATGCTCTGCCCACCCCACGAGCCCCATGGGCCTGCAGCGTGGTCGGGGCCCAGCAGGAAGGGAGGGGCTCTGTCATAGTCCATCAGTGATTCGGTATCCACACGTCCACGGCTGCAGCCAGAGGCCTCTGCTACGGCTCAGTCCACCCTAACCAAGATAAAAGGCTAATGCTCCTGATTTTCCTGTGTGATCCCCGTCACCAGGAGGAGGTTGCAGGCCATGAACTGCACACCCAGGACGCTGCTCATGGGCCCCGTGTACACGCCCACCAGCTCGCTGGAGGAGCCATCGGCAGGCGCACTGCCGCAGGCACTCCTGATGTCCCAGACGCGCACAGAGTTGTCCATGGAGGCAGAGGCCACCAGGCCGCTGTCTGGGCTGAAGGCGAGGCTGGTGATGCTGTCTGTGTGGCCTCTCAGCTCCTTGAAGAGGGTCCCGGAGGCCAAGTCCCACAGCTTCAACCGCTGGTCCTCGCCTGCGGAGGCCAAGTACTTCCCATTGGGAGAGAAGGCAACAGCCAGCACGGGCCCGCGGTGGCCCGTGAAGAGCCGCACAGAGTTCCCCTGCTGGGCGCTCCACAGCCGGACAGTCTTGTCGGTCGAGCCTGTAGCCAGGTAGTTGGAGTTCGGGTGGAACTTGACACAGTCCACATCCGCCAGGTGACCTGCGTATATCCTCAGGGGGTACGTCCGATCCAGTGACCACAGCCTGGCAGTGCGGTCGTGGGACCCGCTGGCAAAGTACAGGCTATAGGGGCTGACGTCCAAGTCCCACACCGGGTAGGCGTGCCCCTGGTACAGCACAGTGTTGCTGAAGGTACCCAGGTCCCAGTATCGGATGGACATATCTTCAGAGCAAGAGAGCAGCCCTGAGCCGTCCGCGAGGAAGCGTGTGCTGTACACAGGTCCACAGTGGCCCCGCAGCGTCTTCATCTCCGTGCCCGTGCCGTCATCCTCAGTGTCCTGGGTGTGGGGGTGGCAGGAAAGAAAACACATATGAGAGGGCGGTTAGTGGTCTCGCAGGCAAGGATCAGGAGAGGGAAAGGCAACGTGCAGGGTTCCTGGGAGACGCAGCTGTGACCCTGAAGGGCAGCCAGGAACGGGACAACGAACTGCTCTCACCACTTACCAACTAACTGGTCTTGCAGCCAGGGGAGAGAGAGAGAGAGAGAGAGAGAGAGAGAGAGAGAGAGAGAGAGAGAGAGAGAGAGCAGGGTCCCTGCCAAGAGCACTGAGCCCAGCACACACCCGGGTGAGGGCAGCTACGCATCTCAAAGCCTGATCCAGAGGCAGCCCTTAGGGCCCCCTCCACACACTGTCTCCTCATCAGCCCTGGCTGCTTTATGCCCCCACGCCCTGCCACCTCTGGGAGTCAGTGATGAGGAAGCACCGGGAGCACACAAGCCTCGCCTCAGGGCTCAGGCACAACTCAGGAGGCTTTAGCCAAAACAGAGCATGGCTGCGTGAGGCAAGCAAGGGCAGCTGTCAGCATTAGGATCCCCCCCCCACCCCGGTCCAAGGATGGAAAGGAGATGGCCGCCCCGATGCTCAGAGGACAGCCTGCTTCAAGGCTTTATGTGGTGCTGAGAATTGAACCCAGTGCTTCACACATGCTAGGCAAGTGCTCTACCACTGAGCCACAACCATGAGAAGCATTTTTTAGGATGCTCTTTTTCCAACTTGAAAGTGGAAATCAATGTCTCCACTGTGCATGTTTCTAGGAAGTTAAAAGAATCAACACTGGTGTCCAAGAATGCTCCAATGGCAACTGCAGACACTCCAGGTTAAAAACATGTCAGCTCTTGGGAGCTCAGCGTTTTACCAAGGGCTGCCCAGAATATCAGCAATTTCCTCTCTCAAGAGGTTACAGCAACACTTAGAAATTCTAAGCACGACTCACTGCCCCGCCATGGAAGTCGCTGAGGACTGTGGAACCAAAGGAGACCCTGGGCACATGAGCAAAAACCCTTGGGAATGGACTGTGGGCTAAGGCATGAGGGTCTCCACCTCACCGGGCACTGAGCATATGCCTGAAGAAGAGACAATGCGCAGGCACTGGGCACCTGCCCCACAGAGGTCCTCAACTGTCCCAGGCCTGGAGATGTATCTGCCTGACTGAAGAGGCCAGGAACCAGGCACCAGAACATGCCTGCCAGCCATCACTGTCAGCCCTCTGCCAGGACCACGGCCCCCAGACACGACTCATACATACCCCAGTGCCGGGGCTCTGGCTCCCAACAGTGTTGACATAGCACCCCACAGTAAACAAGCATGCACCCCAAGCACAAGTGTCAGCTTGCAGTTTTTCATACAATAATCAGCTACACTATGTACACTGGGAACTTCGCAACAGATGGAGATCTAAAGGTTAAGGGACCAAGCACGGTGGACCCTCACATCATCTCAGGCACTGGGGGCTGTGGATTGCTGGCCCCTCCTAGGCCACAGCTGCCCAGGCTGCCTGCAACTGCACTGGCAATGGGGCAATGGCTCACACTCGTGTCTCCTGGGGCAGACGCATTCCTGGGGTCTGCACTGCAGCTGGCAGTGTCACCTGTGGCGGGGCCTGTGAGGAGTGAAACAGGGCAAGCCCACCAAACATGAGTCAATGGCTGCCTGACCTGTGGCAGCAATGGCGCCTGCGTGTGCTCGTGGATCGTGGCTCCCGAGACTAGAATGGGAAGAGACCACTGTTTCACTGATGGCTTCATGATGCCAACACGATCGGACCATGACATTTTGTCCATGCTGGATCAAATAAAACACACTGTTAAAATAGATTCTGACACTTTTAACCTTTTCTAAAGCAACTATTAGACCACTCAGGTTTAGGGCTCATATCATGTGACCACTGCAGACCTAAGGGACAGTTTCAGGTACAAATTACAGGGCTGACTGAAACTCTGACCTCTTTACTTTTCAAATTCAAGGATGGAAGGCAGGGCAGGAGTCCCCAGGCCTGAAGGACTGTGCAGAAGTGCTATGCTGGCAACCCCAGCCTGGAGTCTGCAGCCCTGCCCTGTGGCCAGCAAGGGCCAGAGGCAGGAGTGGTTCTGCCTGGTGTCGCACGGAGCACAGGCAGAGAATGGAGGACTCAGAGAGCAGAGGTCTCACCCTGGGCACATGGCCCTGGGGGAGCAGGCCCTGCCTGGCCAATCGTACAATTTCACAGCCACGTGGGCACTGCCAAGTGGGGAACCGAGGAATGGGCTAGCGCTGCAGATCGTCATGAGACCCTTCTTGCCTAGAGACGATTGACACATGTGAGAGTTTTGGTTATTGTCTTATTATGATGATTGTTATTTAGAATTTTCTTGTGGTGCTAGGGGTTGAAGCCAGGGCCTTGCACTTGCTGAGCAAGCACCTGGCAGCAGGCTGCACACCAGTCCTACTGTCAACCTCTAAGCTAAGAACCTACAGACTGTCAGATCCACATTTCTGAAAAATAGAGCACCAGGACTCTGTGCACATGTGGCCATTATCACTACCTGCCAAGACTGCCATGGCCTCATCTAGAAACCCCGCCTGGCATGGTCAACCGGTCCTCTGTGTGCCAGCAGTCCTGCACAACGTCTCCCATGTGACTGCCAAGCTCCACCCTCCTGGTCACGGGGAGATGGGAACATGCTTCTCCCCACTGGCCATTTCTTTCACACAGGACGAGTCTTCCAGGCTCATCTTGCCAGTGTGTGGTGCCCTGGCTTTCCCAGTGGGGTGGCCATGCCCTGTGTCTGTCTGCTGAAGGACGTTTGGGCTGCAGCCTCCTTCTTTGGCTGCCGTGAACAACGCTATGAAGGTTCTCATACCAGTTCTCGGAGGATTTACATCTTCACCTCCCCTGGTATACACATGGAAACGGGACTGCTAGGTCGGGACACTTTCAGCCTGCCGTCAAAACCTCGAGTCCACTAATTCATGCAACAACTGCGTCAGAAAGAGCAAAGCAGAGGCTGCGTGCTGGCCTTGTAACCTGGTTACCATGGTTTTCTCTTGTTTCTTATCACCTGTCTACAGCTTCAGGGCTTCACCTTGACTTTTACCTGTTACCTTCCAAGGGCATGTGAGCTAGTGACCCCTACAGTACAAGTCTTACTTTTAACTATAAATTCTACAAGGAAAAAGCCAAGTCCAAGTTCTCACTGGAGAAACATTAAAAAACAACTACCAGAACAAAATCATTCTTGGCTTTTCCCAAGATGCTCCTTGTTAGAAACCAGACACTTCCCCAAACCACCATGACAAACGGGTGGAGTGCAGAAACTCAAGCAGGAAGCCCTCAGCATCAGCTCCTTGGCTAGAGGCACTTGAGCCTAGTGAAGCAGAGGCAGCGTCTGTAGCACCTTTGGTAAGAGTGGGCACGTGGGCAGCACACCCCAGTGTGTCCCACAGAGTGCCCTCCTACTCCCCCACTTGCCTATCACCCTACAACTGGGCTCTGCCCCATACCACTTCTTTCCCACGGCTGCAGCCCCGGCTCAGCTACCAGGACTGGGGGAGGCACAGCTGCAGGCTTCCTGCCCCACCCCAGCTGCAATCACCCATCATTCCTGACTATTCCTGGAGTCCCTCCCGCTAATCCTTAAACCTGGACCTTAAACACACCTCCTCTGACTCCTAAAAACCCCAAAGTCATCATCCTTTATGTTAATTTTGAGCACCAGAATTGTCTGCAAAGCCGGCATCACCAAGCTCCACAGGAATGTTTTTCTTTTTCCTTTACAGAAAACTTAAGTCACGGGCTGGGGTTGTAGCTCAGTGGTGGAGTGCTTACCTAGCACGTGTGAGGCAGAGGGTTTAATCCTCTGCACCACATAAACACAAATAAATAAAGGCTAAATTCTTTAAAAAAAAAAAAAAATCAAGTGGCAGAGGGCAGTGGCTCTCAGCTCTAGGTGAATAGCAGCTGGAACTGCTCCAATGGAGGAAAGTCTGAAAATTCAAATTCAAGAGCAGTGAAAAGCATGCTAAGGGTACTGCAGACCAGGGAACAGCGTGAGGTCCAGTCCCTTCCTGGCGGGAGACCTTCCCTTCCTGGGTGCAGCGGGGAGACCACTGCACTGCCTCAGAACCTCACGGCCGGGGGTTCAAGGCAGAGCGGGAGCCAGCTCCCAAGGCGCCCAGGAGGTCCTGATGTCTTTGACAGCAACTTCCACGTGCCCAGAGTGACTTCCCTGCTAAGTGTCTCCACGCTGTGCAGAGCTCCTACTCAGGTACTTTGAGGCCATGCCACCTGGGTCAGTGGTGACAGGACAACACCACCCTGTCCCATGCTCTCCTAAGGTAGTGATGATGGTGACCAGGACCTTGGCCCTGGGCCTAACACCACCAACTCAAAGCAGTAACAGGTTGACAACAGCTGCCACACTGCCTGAGGGGCAGGGAGGCTCTGCCTGGGTCAGAGGGTGGATCCCTCCACACCACGTTCTACTGTGCTGTGGTGTCTACAGCACTACTGCCTTGTGAGAGAGACACTACCCAGCACAAGTACAGACCTGGCCCTGCAGCCTACCTGCACTGCCACACACGCCCAGGGTCACCCAGATGCAGCCTCATCCAGTTTTGGCAAGAGGTCTTCAATGATGCTTTCGGAAGGGGTAGGTACTGACCTCTGGTTAACAGTGCTACATAATGCCGTGAGAAACGGCATCTAATCCTGGGCTGGGCATGGGCAGGACTCAGTGGCTAAGGCACGCAGCATGAGAACGGCTCTGTGCATGACGGGAGCAGGGGTGTCTGCTCTCTGGGAGCTCTGTCAGGTTTGGGCAGACGCTAGCAGTCAGAAAGGACATGTGGGGAGTGGTGCTCCTACCTCCTCCTCTAAAGTGTCACAAGCCAGGCGGATGCGTGATGTGTCCACCTGGTGGGGCTCCGCCTTCAACTTCTTGGACCGCAGACTCCAGAGCTTGATGCAGGAGTTGTCAAACCCGGCAGCCAGCAGCCTGCTGTCGGGGGAAACCTCAGCGGTGTTGAGCAGCTGCTCCGTGTTGTAGAAGGCGTAGAAGCAGATGGTGGTGAGGGAGGGAGGCCCGTCCTTTACGCGCTTGATGCTGTCCTGCAAGACCTCCAAGGCGGCCTCATTCTGCAAGAGAGGGCTGGGCACATCTGGGGGCTCCAGGCTACCGCTCTCACCACGGGGGCCGCCACTGGCGTAGAGCTGGTAGTCTGTCCTCTTGGCAGGCTGCACATCCAGGTGGATGTGGACAGCCAGCACCCTGCACAGTGCGGTGTTGTTGTCGCTCTGGAGGTAGCGCACCAGGTAGTTGTAGCTGTCCTCTGGCAGGCGGACCACGTACTTGTTGTCCAGGAATGCGCGGAGCCTGGAGTCGGACAGGACGTCTTGGACCGTTCGTGTGGTCTGCAGCTGCTCAATGACCTCTTTCTGGCCTGCATTCTGCAGGAACATCCCATGAAAGCGGCTGTAGAAACTCTCCACCGTGCTCTTGGGGCTGTTCTGGACCAGGTTGAGATGGAGGTAGACGAAGAGAGGGTAGAGGAGGGGCATCACTTCATGGCTGTGCTGGGAATCAGAATCTGCAATGAGAAACAGAGAGGGCTTTCAAGATGCAGCATGCGCAGATAAGGTGACCCGGCTGGGGAGCCCTGCCACACCGCTCCTCCTCCAACTGTGCCCTGATGTGGCAGCCCAATGGAACTCTGTACTTCAAAGTTTTTCTGGTGGAGGAAGGAAAAGCAAGGGCCCTAGGATCCAGCCTGGCCCTAAATGTATTTTTGGGAGAATGAATTCTAAATGGATGGCGATCACCTTAAAAACAATGAACACAAGTTTATTCAACACTCACATGGCCATGTGGCAAGAAGTTGTGGCAAGAAGTTGTGGCAAGAGCAAATGGGTCTCCAGCTCCTCTTCCCCAAGCACTCTAGCTGCACACAGCTGGACCGAGGCTAGAGCACTACTCAATGGGCATCTAACATGCCCACTCTCCAGACTGAAGTGTCCTGACACTGAATCAACCTACACCCAAAACCACCCACCTGCAGCCTCATATAGACATTGCTGGTTAAAATATAATTTTTTCTTTTCAGTTCTAGAAATTGAACCCTTTTTGTTTTGAGACTGGGTCTCACTGAGATGCTGGGGCTGGCTTTGAACTTCGATCCTCCTGCCCAGCCTCCTGGGTCACTGGGATATGTGCCATAAAATCTAATACTTTTTCAGTGGTAATTTACAAAGGAGACATTCTGATGCCATTAGGACCACACTACTCACTTTACTACTGAGACACTGAGACTTCACTACTGGGACACTACATGACTAACAAGGTTAAAGAAAACTTTCCAACTTTAACTGTCACAGGATAACAAGACCAGAGGTGTGAGATACTAAATGCTCATGCTGTCAGGCTGGGCAGCCAAGTGAGAAAGTAGGGCAGCAGTATGGCTACCAGGGCCACATGGACACGGGCACAGTGGCAGTAAAATCCAGTTGCTTGCTGTACTTTGAGCTCCGCTGACTACTTTGACTTTACTTGTCCTCATCTGCAGTGAGTTTGGGTTTGTACAGACACAGCAGGTATGAGGGTCACATGCAGCATAACGTCCTATGAAGACAGGTCACACAGCACTCCAAGTCAGCACTGTGCTCTGCAGGCCTTTCCTTGGCACAAGCAGGCATGCTGAGTGGGAGAACCCGCCTGCCTCACCTGGCAACAGCAATCCCCACAGTTCCCTCCGAACGTCCACCTTCCGAAAGACAGGGAACAGTGCCAGGTGTGGTGTAGGCAGCCATCCCCTCCTCCACAGAGAGACCACTGTCCACAATGGCAACAAATGCTCCCACTGCCTGGGGTGAGATGCCTGACCACTGTGCTGCTGGCACCTCTGGCCCACAGGTGAAGCTCAGAGCCTCTGGCTGGTCAGGGCACAGCACCACTGCCCAGGGGAGCTGGATGGCTGTTCCATGTAGGGCAAGGAAGACCACATGGCTGAAGTCACCCTGTGTCTCTCGGCGAGGCTGTCCCATCAGCCTGTGAAAACCACAGCCCAGTGCAGGTGGAGCGTGCTAGGCAATAGGCCTGGCTCAGCCTACAGGCTGTGGCCAGCTGCAGGTATGTGACTGTCCCTATCTCCTATTTCTCCTGCTTAGCTCCTGAAGGGCTGCTTCTCTAAAGAGGGAGCATGCTGGAGGCCACACACGGCACACAGGTGCAAGGTGGAGTGAATCTGTGTTCAGCTAGCTGAGCCACAGCACCGAACGTTTGGTCAGACGTTATTCTAGACTACTGCTGTGGAGGCATTTTTTGCAAGCAAGTAGTTTCTAAGTCAGCTGACCTAATGGCTAAACAGACTTCAAGCAACAGACCTCCATAATGTGAGTGAGTCTCATTTAATCAGTTGAAGGCCTCAGTAGAAAAGAACCCAGGTGCTCCAGAAAGGAATTCTGACTACAACCCCAGCTGTCCCTGGACCCCTAGCACACTGCCTGAGACAATTCCTCAAACTCCTCTCTGCATATCCTGTTAGTTCTGCTTCTCCGGGAACCCAGCTGATACAGATTCTGATGCTTCTTTAACTATTGCAATTTGCGATGAGCTTTATGTACCAACTACAGGAACAGAAGCCCCAATCCTGCCTGACCTCCAGCAAGTCCTGCAGAGATGCAGGTTGTTCTGACTCCTTAGAATTTTGATTTTAGGCTTACTTGCAAAACAGAGGCATTTACTTTAGCTCAGCAAGCCTGGGGAGACCTAGTTACCACTGCTCAGCACCCACTGATATTGCTTCTGTTCCCTCTGCACGTGGCCACGTGCTCAGACAGGCCACTGACAGGACCTGGGGATGGCGAGGCACTCCCACCATAGACCCTGCTCCTGCATTGACGTTTTCTCACTCTAATGAGCTCCTCTCCATGGGGGCACCTGCCCTCCGACCAGCGTGTGCCTTCTTCCACCCGTGTCTCCCTGCGGAAGAGCAACAGCGCCAGCTTGTGCCAAGCCAGGATGACTGTGCTGAGGCGTGGGCCCACTGCAGGGAGTGTGGGCAGAATGTGCTTATTGGGGTTGTCAGAGGAGGCTGCCCAGGGCAGATGGTATTCATGACAGCACCCACAGAAGATGTGGAGGAGGAGTGGGAAGCTTTGGGAAGTGACAACCATGGGCCCGGCGACAGAGGTGGTGGCCAGATTTGTTGTTCCTAGGGTTTTTATGGACGTAAATTATGCAAAGAAAACTAGGATAATCTACTCATGTATACGTCCAGGGGCATCATTGTATTTGTGGGTCTCCTCAAACGCATCATTACCATTAAAAATTATTAACACGTGAATTGTTCAAATAAAAATAGAACAAGTGCCAGGCGTGGTGGCGCAAGCCGGTAATGCTCAGGAGGTTGAGGCAGGAGGATCATGAGTTCAAAGCCAGACTCAGCAAAATCGAGGCACTAAGCAATTCAGTGAGATCTGTCTCTAAATAAAATACAAAATAGAGCTGGGGATGTGGCTCAGTGGGCCAGTGCCTCTGAGTTCAATCCCTAGCACTTAAAAAAAAAAAAAAAAAAAGGCTCCAAGTTTTAAACCAAAGGTGGTTCAAGGGTGGGGCAGGCTCCCCATTTCCTACAAGGGGCTCTGCACAGAGGGCACACAACAGATGACACCAGCCGCTCACTGCTTTCTCTGCTGCCACCTCCTAGCACCACAAGGGCACCAGGCACCTAAGGCTGTAGGGACGGGTAGGTTCAGCCTTTGACTGCCTCTGTCCCAGACACCAGATGTCCCAGACAGGTTAAGTGACTTGTTTTTCAACAGTGGCTGCATTGAGCTGGCCTCATGGTGATAAAGGAGCAGATGGAATGCCCGTCTATTGACTTGCATTACAGAGATCACTTGTCCTGCAGCCTCTGCTGATCCAGGAGGACTGCAGTCTCCCACTTTTGGAAACACAGGACTGAGACCACCTCAAGACGTGCTGTGACTGGCGCAATACCTAGGGGCATTCCCCATGCTGGTCCTGCTTCGAGCTACTCAGCACACATCATATCCCTGTGTTGAGGGCTGTGGCAAGATAGAACAAGCACCTGAGCTCTCTTCTGGACTCTGTGAACTTTAGCCTCAAGAACTTCAACTCCCTTGCCAATTCCATGAGGCTTGTCTGCACACAGTCTCAACACTGTGCCCACTATATGACAAGCTCTGAGAAAAATTTGCACTGCTCTATCTTAGGAAAGGTTCCCATAGCTGAGCACTCACCAGTGAGAAAATTCCGCAGCCGTCCGAACTGTACTTCATACTGCTGGGGCTCTGCCTGGCAAGGGGCTGCAGATACTATGTTGGCACAACCCGATTCAGACTGGACTGAGGAGGAAAAGAGAAAGGCAGGAATGAGATTAATAGCAGGACAGGTGGAGGGCCAGGGGAGGTGCTGGGCTGTCCCAGCGGCACAGGCAGTCCATAGGTGGCCGCCAGTGTGCTGCTGACCTGTCTGCCCCCTCTTTCCTAACACCCTACTGTGAGGGCAGAGGAATGGAAAGGCAGAGAGCATGGGACCCATGAAAGGGAAGAGGACAGCCTGTCACGTTGCTAAGGCACATCTGGAAATGCCGGGTCTGAGTTCCCCGTGCAACAGCATGCAATGGTGCGGGCAGTGGGGGGTCTTATCATTTCCTTGGAGGCCTCCTTGACTTTCAGTCCTCTGCCAAGTTCTCCTTTCCACTACCACGTGTTTAGTTCTCCTTCCCCAAACAGCACTCTCCTCTTATCTCAGGCTAGAATCAGGCTGCACTGTCTGCTCCCCATCACTGCACCACAGCCACAGGCGAGGTCAATTCGGGCTGCTCCAGGAGACCAGGCCCTTTAACCTGCACCACACTAGCACCTGGCTCCATCTTGTCCAGGATGACAGTCTAAAGATCCCTGGGCCCGCGAGAGCCTCAGAGGGAGCCGGGAACCTGCCTGAGGATATCCTCGGGTTTCACCATCCTATTTTCTTCCTGTAGCAAAGTCAACCCACCCTCGAAGCAGGGAGGCCGGGTGCTGACAGCAGAGTGAGGGGAGCAAGGATGGAAGATGGGGATGGGGTCTGCAAGAGCAGAAGTACAGGAATAGAGAGAGAAGGCGCTGCTCCTGCTCCACCTCCACATAGCCACCAGGCCCTTGGCCCACATCCCCAGCCCCAGCACTGGGCAGGGACTCAGCCGAGAAAGTCACATTACAGAGAAGCCTGAACTCAAAATGGCTGAGCAATCACCACTTGCTATTCCAGGTGGAGGACAGGTTTTTCTACAAAACCCGATTTCAGAACAATAAGACCTTTTTAAAAATTTATTATTTACTTATCACTTTTGCAGTACCGATGACTGAGCCCATGATCTTATGCATGCTAGGCAAGTGCTCTACCACTGAGCTACACCCCAGCCCTAACATTACAGAACAGCACTTGGTCCCCCATTAATATGCACAACTTTTATGGTTTTGTATATTAGTTAAGTTTGTTTGTTTGTTTGTACTGGGGATTTGGTATAGGGGCACTTAACCACGGAGCCACATCCCCAGCTCTTTATATATTTTATTTAGAGACAAGGTCTCACTAAGTTGCTTAGGGTCTCACTAAGTTGTTGAGGCTCATTTTTTCCCCCATTTTTTGAAATTTGTTCTACTTAACTATACATGACAGCAGATGCATTTCAATTCATTGTACACAAATAGAGCACAACGTTCCAAGTCTCTGGTTGTACACAGAAAGATCTTTTAAAAAACACTGTCCTCAAAGTGCTCATTCGCCCTGCAAACTGCTTCTCACCAGTGGAGGGGACCTGCCCCTCAGGGTCTTGGGGGACAAAGAGGCTGTACAAACCACCAGGTACAGGTAAAGCATCTAGAAGCAGAGGAGCCCGGCTCCAGGCCACCTGCAGGGTCCCAGCATCACCTGAGAGGTTGGCCGCCATCTCCTCTGCACTCTGTGATAGCCGCAGGCCTTGCTTCAAGGGGCCATCGGAGTCCACGAACTGCCGGCGTTTGAGGTAGCAGGACACTGCCGTCTGGAGCTGCTCCGTGCGCACACGTTTCATGACCTTCATGGGGGAAGCACAGGTGGGACTGTAAGGGCGACGGGCCACTGCACCAGAGATCGGCTGGGGCCAGGAAGACTGGCCATGCGGCCGCACGTGCAACCTAAGCCAGCTGCCCACTGCATGCTCCTCCACTTCATCTGTTTCCCATGATCACATCGCCAACATCAGTCGTGGAAGTGGGAACAGCAGCACAACAGACTCACAGGCCACCCCAACACCATTACTTCAGTCAGCCCCAGGACCCCACATCAGAGCAGCTGACAGGCAGCGGGCCAGGCCTGTCTCTTCCCCGCCTGAGCGGTGTGAATCAGCAGCAAGACCACTAAACGTGGGCAGAGGCAGCAGAGAACCCAAGACACAAAACCCACAACTGGTCAGGAAGTCCTGCCAGCGCCACAGCGAGGGTCAAGACACTGTGCTTTCATGCGAAACAAATCACTTCTGTGCAAATTGTCTGAACCACAGGCACAGAAAAGCGCCACAGCTGCTAGAGGGCAAGTAAGTATGTGGAACACCTCAGGTCTCATCAGGCAGGAAGAAAAGTGGCAGGAAATGAGCTGAATGGGGCAAATTAATAATTTGTAATAATCTGAACTCATTCCAGGGAGTGTTTTCTCTCTCTCTCACACACATACACACACACAAAGGGAACGAGCAGAGGAATTATTTTCCTTCATTACTAAATTTACTTTCAAGAACTAAAGGAACCTCTAGCATTGCCATGGCCACAAATGCAACTTTGCAGGAATCTAAGACACTATCATGTGATGACCTTAGACAGTGGGACGAAGAACACTTGGTTCCCCCATTAATATACACAGGGAGTAGTCTGCTTCCAGCATCGGGGCATGGGCCACCACTACAGTGCCCCACAGGTACCTCGACCCCAGTGGGCTCCTGAGAACCAGGGCTGCAGGGCGTGGAGCCTGCCTCTGACCCACACCACTGGGTCCACCTTCCAGAAGGACCATGGCAGTCTTCTCCTGAGTGCTCTCATTATTTAAGAATGAAAAATTCTACCTTTTCCAGAAAATTGTCATCCATCTGCAGTTTCTTAGAGCATGGCCTGTGGTGAGGAGCTTCCCTGGACCCCTGTGGCCAGCACAACCTTCCTCCATGCTGACTGGTGGTGCTCTGCAGGCACCTGGCTCAACTCTCAGGGCCTCCTGACAGGGAGGCAGGAGTTGGACAGACAATGCCCACACCCACATCCATGCAGCAGAAGACAGCACTCTGCTACACCACAAGCACTGAGACGGTGCCACCCAGAACTCCTCTCCAGGGGACTGCAAGGAACACAAAGCACACCTGGAAAGGAGCAGCACTGGGGGTGCTGGGTCGTGGCTTGGCAGCACAGGGAGAAGCCCGGATGACCTGCAGAGGCTGTCTCACCATGAAGCCCACCTTTCTTCCCTGGCTGACATTCCTAATTGCTGACATAGTTCTGATGCTTTGGAAGTGACCTTCCGCTCTCAGCATCACCCATCCACCTTGAGGACAGACCACTAGTCACCACATTAGGATGCACGAGGTCAGCGACTGTGCCTCTGGTTCTCCATGGTCCCTAACCTGTTGTGTGAGTCTCCTGGGGTTTGTGCACCAGTGATATCAGCCCTGGACTAGATTCTGACTCGGAGTCACACAGCAGCTGCGGGAGGTGCTTTCTTGCTGTCCACACCAGCCCACTGCCCTCCTGAACAGAGATGGCCCACCGGGTGGCCCGCTGCCACTTCCTACTGATGGGGGAGCGTGTCCCCAAGCAGTCTAGTCAGACCCCTCTGCAGGGACAACCTGCTTATGAGATGCAGGACCAACCAACCAGTGGGAGGCAGGTGGCCCGACACAGGGTGTCTGTAGAGGAGGGAAAAGGCCAGATGTTCTGAAAGGACAAACACAAGATTGCCATCGGTGCAGAATGGCTGCATTTGGGCAAGAAGCCAGTGTGCCAACACCTGGCCCAAGGGCACCCTGTCTGATCCATGCCAGGACTTGGGGCAAGGACCTCTCTGCAGGTGGTGTGGACCAACTGTGGGGTTGCAGATCTCAGGGTAGGCATTTGGTGTGACTCCTTTGGCCATGCAGACTGAAGCCCAGGGCCAAGGTGCAACTGCCCCTGCTGGTGTGATCCCCAGGCCATACTTGGAGAGGAATAAATGAGAAGGTACCTCAGAGAAATCAGCCCCAGGCTGCATTCCACAGATCAATGCCCGCAGATAAGAACCTCCTTACGACACCCTCCACTCCAGGCTCAGAACCCGCCCAGCACTGCACTTTCCACTGCCCACCTCATGTTTCCTGGAGCCACAGAACCCCTTCAGTGGATACCAGGTCTGGACATAACTGTACACCCCTTGCTGAAATTTTAAATTTCCTGTATTTTCAACTGTAATCCTTAAAAGCAAAACATACGTCAAACACCTTTCTTTTTATGTGGTTTGTATTTCTAGAAATCAGAAAGGAGGTTCAGACAGTGTGTTTTTCTCCTATTGCTCCACCTACACTCCATGTTGCCCCAAGACCCCCAGCATGATGACCTCAACTGAAGCAATGGGTGGCTCTGGACGACCACCTTGGAGATGTGGGCCAGAATCCTGGAGCCCTGACTCCTGCCCATGATGGGCCTCAGGCTTGGCCACACACTGCATGTCAACCCCTCCCACCTGGTGCACATGTGAATGGCTGACAGAGGGCGTCTGGGAGCACCCCCAGGCCACCATGTCCCAGCTGAGCATCATGAATCACACAAAGCTATCACATGGAGGCCCATCCTTCACAAGGCGGCAGTCTGAGCAGGGTGGTTCAGAATAAACCCTTGGCTCAGCTCCCAGGAATCTCTGACCAATGGCTAGTGGGTGTAATTTCTGTTATTGTCAAGTAAATATATTTTTCCCACTGTAAATTTATGCTTAAAACAGATGAGAAGTCACTTTGTACTTTGGCTGAATGAGGTCAAGTACCCATGAGGTGCTTAACACTAGTTCTCCACTAAGTGGTCTGTCGAAAGGTCATTCTAGGTAGGACCTCAACGCAGAGTGCTGCACTCATGGTTAGACAAGTGTGTTCACCTGGCTGAGAAACACCACTAGAGCTGAGAGTAAGGAACTGCCCCTGCTCCCTGAGCAAGGCAAATCCCACAACCATGCTGGCTTTCCCAGACCCTTCTGCCCAGCTGACAGCCACACCTGAACTATATAGGCTGTGCTCCTGTCCAAGGTGTCCACAGGCAAAGGCAGAGAACCACAGCAGATGCCACCAGAAACCGCAGGTAGTTGGGACAACCACAATGCTCTGCACCCCACCCTGGCTGCTTTCAACAGTCGCCAGTCTCCTCACCTGGCTTGATGGTCCCACCTGACTATGACCTTGACTACCCAACTCTTGGCCAACCCAAGTTGCCTCTCAGCACTGTGTTGTCCCTGGTGGGCTCGTGGCTGACAGGACTGTGCTGGGCGCACTTCCTCCCTCAGACTCTCCTAGGTCACTCCCTGTGAGCGGGTCCTCTGCTGTCCCCCATTCATTGTCCCAGCATCGCACTACCCTCAGGAGACTCAGTCTTCAGACAGGCCACCCTCCTGAGCAAGGGGCTGGCAAGACACTTGCATGTGGACGATGCAGATGCAAGACTCATGTGCACAGACTGAGTCTTACCTTCAGACCCTCCTTAACCAGCACTCCTGGAGAGCAAGAGGCCTGGCATTCAGGCTCCCCTCCCCCTCCCTCACTTCCTGCCCTGCTCCCTGCCCACAGCACAGGTCCTTCTCCACTGGGCGGGGCACTCCCACCCAGATCACTCCTGGACACTGCCAGAATAAACAACAGCTCCATCTTCATCCCATCCCAGGGGTCCCTGCTCCTCCCTCTCCCCAAGCAGGTGTAGCACCCTGGGGAAAGTTCTTCTCACCTTTGGAGAAGAATTAATGGAGCACTGTCCAGCTTTTGCCGGAAATTCCTGATGGTTCCCTTTAGCTTGTGGTCTTTTGTGATTTCTATAAAATGAAAAGGCCACACATATTTTATTCCTCCTTAAGTACTGATTCCATAACACAGAAAAGCTGACCAGTACACAGCCTTGTTACCACGGCAGACGGTGATGTCCACACAGGGTATTTATACACCTCTGCCTACGTCTGCCACAGATGAAACACTGGTGTATGCTGTTACCACCGCAGGTAGGACACATAGTGCTCAGCGTGGGGAATAGGGTGAGTGCTTCCTGTGCTCACCACTGCTCCCAAGGTTGAATTAAATGCGGCACATGAGATTTCAGATGCCTTAATGACATTAGGACATCCACGTGAGTGAGCCTGGAACAGGACAGTCCTCAGGTGTCCATCCTTGGTCCACACAGGTTGTCACGGCAGACACTAGCCGTGCGAGTTCTGAGCATGTGCGGCCACTGCACCTGAGGAGCTGTGTCTGAACTCTAGCAGCCACACGTGCAGACCAAGGAGCTCCGGACGCACTCACTCAGTGAAACAGAAGCATCGCACCTGAGCTGAAAATGCTGGCTCATGACACTTCTAATCACAAACTGTCCCTAAGCTGGCATTTTGATTGTAAAGACAGAGCTATCTTTACCACTGACAAACATCACATCACAGGGTAAGACACTTCAACCTGTCTAAACAGGAAGGAAGGAAGGATGCCCAACCAAAGGTAGGCTCAGCCTGCCTCACTCTTACAAATGGGAAGTGGAAAGAAATCTTTTTAGTCATCTTAAAATATGGAAATTAACAATAGTAAGAGCTGTATGCATTGTAGATGAAGGAAAAATGTTTAATTTTAATCTCTATTAGTTTACACATATTTAAAAATACTTACGACAACATACTAATTAATGAAAAACTTTTACTCTATCCACTTGCATACATCTCAAACACCAGTAACCTGACCAGTTAAACCACTCTGAACATCAAATTCCACTTTTCAGAGCACCTCACCTTCACAAGCACCAACTCATTTACTGTAGAAACTTCCTGAATCCACATGATGCTCTTACTGGAAATCTTATCCCAAGCCATCAACCCATGCAGGTGGATGGCACTTTTTCCACTAATCACTTACTGTACTGACCCTGCCCCCCACCTGCACAAGCTGTTTCCAGTGGCACCTGACACTTTCACTATGAGGCACTAAGCAATAGTTGCTAAACCCTTCCTGGTTTTTCCTTCACACAACCGATTTGGTAAGACCGAAGAACTATTTGACCTAGTTCATCTTTCTTATACAGCGCCCTTTCAGGATGGTGACTTAGGGACTGTGCAGTAGGACAGTCCTCAAGCTGGGGTGGCATCCTCTATGGGCAGTCATCAGACATGCCAGAATGCACTCTTCAGGGGGAAGCTGCCTGGATAGCCCAGCAGCTGCTCTGTGCCTTCTGTCAGTGCTCTCTACACTTCCAGATGGTTTTGGAAGCCCATCTATGGAAGCCATCATTTCCTTTCAGACTCTAAATAGATGCAAAGTTACTAGAATAAGTAATCATGGTCTTTCCCACTTCCAAACCAAGGCCAAGAAGTAGCTAGGCACCATCTTCCTGAAAGGTTAATGTGAGGCTTAAAAGCCTCTACTGCTTCCACTGCTTCTCTCTACCCACAGAACCCAAGAACACCATGCCACTAAGTGTCTCCTACACCACCATTAGGAGCTCACACCTACTGACAACAGCACTGGTGCTTCAGTGTCTCCTCTAAGCTTGCAACCAGTCTACCAGGCAGGCAATCTTTTTCAGATGGGAAGCTGAGGCCCACACAAGTCATAAAATTTGCCCAAAGGTCACACAGTTTCTACATGGGAACTGAGGCTAACTGGCTGCAGGATCTGGGCCCCAGCTCTCTGCAGGACCTTGCAGCTCTCCACAGATCTCACATGGGACCATGGGCTTCCTGGGGGAGCAAGAACGAAGAATGCACACCAGACACTTGCTGAGAGAGAGCAGCACAATCCCACAGGGGATGCTGATGGCTAGAGGAAGGGGCTGGAATGTGACAGCCAGTACTGTGCACTGAATAGTACTAGCTTAACAACTGACGGACTCCTAGGACCCTCTCAGCTAACACCAATCAAGAAAAAAATTACTTTTTCCTGAGATGTCTTTCATAGATAGGAATACATTGACTACAGAAACAAAAATAAGATCAGCTACCAAGTAGTCAGATGAAGTCTCTACCTAACTTCACAGTGACAGACCACACCCAAACCTCACAGTTAGAAGCAGGGACAGGGCAGGAACAAGGCCTTCCTGAGATATCCTAACCCAATCTTTGATGGCAAGGAAGACGCTCACGCAAACCCACATTTGGTGTCCTGGATAAACACTAACGTTTAAGGCAGAAAGGCTTTATAATAAACAGAAAAGAGAAAGTCAGCATGCATAACATTCAACACAAGAAAATTAGGCCTACCGGGAACCTAGAAGGTACTTAGCCCCAAAGAAAGTCACAGCAGCTCCTAAGAGTGCTTTCTGCACGCCAGGTTGCACCCTGATATGGATACCTTCCAAAAGGTCCAGGCGAGTTACCGTCCTGGCTTACAGAGAAGGAAACCAGGACTGGGAAAGGCTACACCAGAGCTAGCCAGCTACAAGGTTGCAATCCGGGTCCCGGGTCCCCGGGCTCCGTCCGCCGCCAGGGATTCCCCGGGCTTCCCGGCGTTGAGCGTGGCCGGAGCTCGCCCACCGGCCCGCGCCCCTGCCCCGCGCACGTGTCGCCAGCCAAGCGCAGCGGCCACGGCCCTCGCCCGCCCCGGGACTCACCTCCCGCCGCCGGAACCTCCGCGCCCGCGAGGTCCGCGCCGCCGCCCACTTCCGCCGGCCGAGCGCGGCCCAGCGCGCAGCCGCCTCCCGCCGCGCCCCGGTGCCCGCCGCCCGCGCCGCGCAGGCGCCCCGCCGCCACGTGCGGCCCCCGCCGCGGGGACCCGGCCGCGCAGGTGCCGCCCCGGGAGCCCGCCCCCCGCCCGCGCTCACTGAGCATGCCAGGCGGCCGCGGCTGCCCCGCCGCCCGCGACCGGCCGCCTCCGCTGCAGCGCCTCGCTCCGCCGCCACTAGCCCGGGCCCCGCGCCCCGCGCCCCGCCGCGCCCGCGGCTCTGCGCGGCCGCCCCATGACCGCCAGACGGAGCGGGCGCGCCGGGCTGGGCCGCCGACGCCGACGCCGCGGCCAGGGCGCACTCGGCGCTCGGCTGGCGATGCCTGCGCGCCAGCTCGCCCCGCCTCGCCCCGCCCTGTCGGCGTCGCGTCAGCGTCGGCCGGAAGCGCCCGCAGCGCATGGGGCGCGGAGCGGCGGAGCTGCCAGGTGAGCCCCTCGCGGCCGGCGTGTTCGGCCGGGGCTGTCCCTGCGGGTGGGGGCGGCAGGGCTGAGAGAGCCCCGCCTGCGGTGGGACCCCCAAAGGATGGACCTCCCCGGGACGAGGCCCCCACGGGATGAGCCCCCTCCCGCGGGGCGACCCCGGCCTGTGATAACAGCCCAAGAGATGAACCTCCCCAGGAATGAGCCCCCCAAGCAACGAACCGCCCCAGGGATGAGCTACCCCCCATAATGCCTCTAAGGGATGAGGTATCCATCCAGGAGCCCTCGCCCACGGGGCGAGCCCTGCCTGTGATGACACTCCCAAGGGATGGACCCTCCCAGGAATGCCCCCCCCCAAGGATGACAACCCCCCCATACCTCCCCAAGGAATGAACCACCCCCAAGAAATGAATCTCCTTCCTGGAATGAGACCCCCACCCCCATCCCCGGGATCCCCACAGCCCAGCGATAAGCCTTGCCTCCAACCAAGGGATGAGTGCCGGCGCCCCCACCCCACCCCCGCGTTGAATCTCCCCCAAGGGGTGAGCCCCTTCCCCCATTTTAGTCTTCTTCGCTCAGGGCTGGGCCCCACCAGAGGGAGAACCCACCAGAACTGAGCCTCACCCGCTCTCCTCCCTGGTGGCTCTGGGCCAGCTTGGGGGCTTGGAGGTGGCCACGCCCCCGGGAGGGATGCCCCTGCCAGGTGGCTGCAGTTGCAGCAGCCCTCCTTTGGTTTGACCGAAAGATAAAAATCACTGTGATGTTTTTTCAGTTCTTGAGTTAGTCTATTTTGTTTTTATTTATGATAACTATTTGTATGTAGTGTATCAGAAAGTTTTTTCTCTTGAGCTAAATTGCTCATTTTTTGTGATGAAAATAACTTAACATTTTGCTTATGACTTAAATCCAAAGCTGCTTGCCTCAGTTTTATATAACTGGGTGTATCTGTTGTAGTCTTCTCTGCAGATATGTATGTGGGGGTGTGTGGGATGTGTAAATTTCTTTGTGAGTACTGACTTTACAGTGGGGAGTTACTGTTGCAGCAGAGATAACAGTGTTTCTCTTGGGATGAGTTAATGCCCCCTCTTTTCCTTGGAGAAACATCTTTTTCTAATACTGTATTGCATATTTATTTCTTTGCACTGCTTAACAGAATTTATCTTAACAGGTAATACATAGTACACTTTAGAGGTTATGTGAAGAGTTAATGATTCTTTCCATTCCAGTGGTTTGGTTTTTGCCTTGTTTGCACTTACCTCTGGGCGTGTGTTCACAGCAGAAATATTTGTAACATGTCTTCTGCACACTTTTGTCTGAATTTCCCCTAGGAAATTTGTCATTGATGTGTTTTAATTTGTTAAAATGTTTAATAGTATACAATAAGACCCCTGCTGTTTCTTTTCTGATGCCTGTTAAGTTTGCTCTTGTTGTAATACAACTTTCTGTTGTTTTGATTATAGATAACGGGTGGCAATGGCTGCTGTATATTCTGGCATTTCCCTTAAGCTTAAGAGCAAGACGACTTCCTGGGAAGATAAACTAAAGCTTGCTCACTTTGCTTGGGTTTCCCACCAGTGCTTCCTTCCAAATAAAGAACAAGTAAGT